GAGAGAGAGAGAGAGAGAGAGAGAGAGAGAGAGAGAGAGTTCAGGTGTCTTTAGTGGGGGATGCAGTACAGAATGGGCCTAGACATCAGGGCAGCGTGTGTGTGTGTGTGTGTGTGTGTGTGAGTCTAGATGTCTTTAGTGGAGGATACAGTACAGAATGTGCCTAAACATCATGGGCAGCGGTGTGTGTATGTATGTGTGTGTGTGTGTGTGTGTTTGTGTCCATGGTCTTTAGTGGGGGACACAGTACAGAATGGGCCTAGACATCATGGGCAGCGTGTCTGTGTGTCCAGGTGTCTTTAGTGGAGGATGCAGTACAGAATGGGCCTAGACATCATGGGCAGCGTGTGTGTGTGTGTCTGTCCAGGGTCTTTAGTGGGGGATGCAGTACAGAATGGGTCTAGACATCATGGGCAGCGTGTGTGTATGTGTGTGTGTGAGTCCAGGGTCTTTAGTGGGGGACGCAGTACAGAATGGGTCTAGACATCATGGGCAGCCGTGTGTGTGTGTGTGTGTGTGTGTGTGTGTGTGTGTGTGTGTGTGTGTGTCTGTCTGTCTGTCTAGGTGTCTTTCGTGGGGGATGCAGTACAGAATGGGCCTAGACATCATGGGCAGCATGGGTGTGGAGGAGAGGACAGCTAGAGCTAGACCTTCAGGCATTTGAGAAGACATTTGAAGCCATATAAGAAGAGGGAGTTGCTGTAAATCCTTGAAAATATTGTTGATGAAACTTGTTCTAGCAAGTGTGTGGGAGACTGACTGAAGGAGAGAAATAATTGAGGTAAGAAATCTCTCTAGAAGGCTGTTGAACGAAATTAGTCCTCTAAAACTATCGGTCTAGGGTGTGATTTTGGTTGTGGGAAGAGGACTTAACCATTGAAGAGAAAATGATAAAAGGATTTAATTACATTCAGGGTTCAACAAAGATGAGTAAAATGGGAATTTGAGTATTTTGAAGTGTGGCAATTCGAAAGGTTGGAATCTTGGGAAAACTGGAATTTTAATGGGATATCTAGTGAACTGTGGTTATTAATCTTTAGTATTCTGAAAAAGGTAGGAATCTCTGTGGCATAGTGGTTACATGCTGGGCTGTACTTTGCAAGGTCAGCAATTGAAAACCACCAGCAGCTCTGGGGCTTTGTACTCCCATGAAGAGTTACGGGACACTCACAGAGATAGTTACACTACTTTGTCCTATGGTCTTGTTGTGAGTCAGCATCTACTTGATGGCAGTGAGGCTTTTGACAGATTCTGAAGTGCATGTAGTTAGAAGCAGAGAGGGCAAAGGACTGAACTTGTAGGGATGGATTCCAGTAGAATCAGTGAAGGGGGGCAGTAAGGAACTGTAAGCGAGAAATAGATATCCAAGATCCCTGAAGCCCTGGAATTCAGGTGCCTCAGGAATTAACCCTATCACCAAAAATTCCATCACCATTGAGTCAATTCTGGAGTTTAAGTGACCCTGTAGACGAAGTAGGTATAGACTAGCAGAGGTGCTTAGTCTAACAGAGAAGTGAAGCTCATTGGTTTTACTTAGGAGAACTCATTAATGACATAAAGAAAGTCTTCAGGTAATTTCAGGAACTTGAAATTTTATTGTTCGGAGATCACCTAGCTCAGCTTGTTCATTTTACAGATGAGGAAGCTTGTGATTTCAGCTATTACTGTCTGTTTATAACAACTGAGAATATAAAATAGTGATAAGTCTCAAGTTGGATAAAGTTTTTGTCTTACATGTGATTAATTTTTTATTTTCTCCACATTATTATCAGCTCAACAGAAACCGGAGCTTCAAAAATAATACCTTTCTTGAGTCTTCATATTCCTTAAAGAACAAAATTATCTCTTTAAAAAAAATATTTTAGGTACTATTTATTTCCTAATTATAGCTCTTAAAAGTGTATCTTAAGATAAATGCATATCTGGTATTGATCCTGTTCTTAAACTTTGAAAATTTTAAGTTTCTGTGTGTTTTTTTTATTTAATTTTTGTTTTAGGAGCTTCAAATGGACCAACAAGCAAAGAAACATCTCCAAGAGGAGTTTGATGCATCGTTAGAGGAGAAAGATCAGTATATCAGTGTTCTTCAGACTCAGGTAAAGGAATTTTTGGATAAAAAAATTAGAAGAATTTTGATGTTATTTAATAGGTTCAAAATCATAGCCAAATATGACCTATTTTTATAGCTGTCTTTTCTCAGTTAACTTTAAGTATATAACTTTTGATTTATTGTGTCTTTTGGCAGTTATATAATAGATAAAAGCAACTATAAAAACCAGTTCCTTAGGGAATAAACTTCATTCCCACCCCAGTCCCCCTCCCTCCCCCTCTCCCCCATAGCAAAAATGACCTAATTTACGCTGTTACCTTTGTTTAAGGAAAGCACCACTGTCCCAGTGCCACAGTTTATCATGATTTTTTTCTGACGAACAGTACATCTTCTCTAGGTTTCTCTGCTAAAACATCGATTGCAAAATGGCCCATTGAATGCTGAGTTACCTAAACCACTGCCCCAGATGGAGTCGCAGCCCGATGGACTCACCAAAGAAGAGAATGCTGAGCATAATGTGGAGCCAGTAGGTAAGTGTCATCTTGTCAGCAGTAACGTAGGAAGCCAGAGAGGCGAGGGCTTGTGCTGATGGACTTTGGCTGGTAGAAAAATACTGTGCCCTTGAGCATAACTTTTCCAGAAAAATGTTGTTTTTCAGTTCTTTGTTGTTATTCAGGATAAAGTAACTAAGTAACTGGTTTTTGTTTTTTCCCCTCACTAAATCTAGAACATATTGATTCTATATTATTATCTGCTCACATATCTACAAATACAAATGTTAATTAAAATAATCTCTTCTAAGTAACTGTTTTAAGACTGCTTTACAGTCTGTAAGTAATACCACATTTTCATTGTAGTTGAAATTCATTTGCTGTGTCCAAGATGATTGAAAATGCTATTTTTAATAATTTGGCTATTTTAGTTGGTAAGTAATATGACATACGCATTTCTACATTTAAAGGATCCTGTACAACAGCAGTTTTCAACCTGGGGGTTGCGACCCCTTTGGGGTCAAACAACCATTTCACAGGGGTCGCCAGATTCATAACAGTAGTAAAATTACAGTTATGAAGTAGGAACGAAAATAATTTTATGGTTGGGGGGGTCACCACAACATGAGGAACTGTATGAAAGGGTCGCGGCATTAGGAAGGTTGAGAACCACTGCTATACAAGGAGGCTTCAAAAAGTTCATTGTTTTTAATTCCAATTTTCCCACAAGCTTTTTAAAACCCCCTTATATTTACGCTAATATTTGTCCATTAATTAGAAAAGAAAGAATGTTTAAATTTTGTTAAAAGTCAACTGTAGTGGTCCGCCTGTCCCTCGAGGTTTTGAGGTACAAATTCAGTAAAATTCTCATCAGCCCCCTCCCTCCAATCTCTTTTTCTAAGATTTGTAGTGAATATATAGCCCAGCCAGAGTCAGAGTAATGAGCTTGGCAGCTAGCTAGCTACCTAAGCAGCTGTTCTATAAAGGATCCTGAAAGTCCCTTGGGGAATGAAAGCATTACTCTTAAATGATGTAAAGAGAAAAGGAAAGTTATCAGTACTTCTCTCCTGAAAGGATTGGTGTGGTTGAAAGGAACACTTCCTTACTTCATTTGGTGTAAGACCCTTAGGGGTGCATTTGAATGACAAAGGTTGGATATCACATTCTCTTTTAGGGATTTGAATTCAGTAGGCTAGTGTTAGCCAGCTCCTGAGTGTTGTTTGCATTTGGGGATGGCAGTGAACCTCTGAAGAGGTGAGCTCACAACTCTGCTTCTTCAGATAGTAAAATAAATGGTGAGAAAGCAGAGGTCTGGAAGGGTGCCCTCTTCTCTCGCTGTGCTGGGGGAGTGGTGGAAAGTGCTGCCATACCATAGCCTCCTGTGTACTACCGGCTGTTCTCAGGGAGGCCTCCTTTCCTTTCCAACTGCCTCCACTTATGCTGCTTTGTTGTTAGTAGGGGGAGATGGAGCTTCTTCTAAAACACTGGAAACACTTCAGCAAAGAGTTAAGCGTCAAGAGAATCTCCTTCAGCGTTGTAAGGAAACAATCCAGTCACATAAGGAAAAGTGTACACTGTTAACCAATGAAAAAGAAGCACTGCAAGAACAACTAGAGGAAAGGCTTCAGGAACTAGAAAAGATGAAGGTAAACCTGTGAATGAGTTTTTTCTAACTTGTTAAGCCCCGCAGATGTAGAGACACAGGGGCTCAGCATTGCCCCTGGCCGACACCCCCACCCCCCCACCATTCCTTCATAGATGATTGAGCACATGCCCTCATTTGGGCTGCAGAGTGCTCTGGGCATCTTTTCTATTCTTTTTTTAAACAGGTTTAGTGACACTTAATTCATGTATCTTACAATTCACTGTTTTGAGTATATTAAGTTGTACAATCATCATCGCAGTCAACTTGAGACCATTTTCTTCATTTTTGTACTCATTGTTATAAGCGCCTCATTTACCCCCAACCTCCCCTGCCATAACCGTAAGAAACTTCTAGTTAATTTCTCTGTGCTGGATTTCATTAAAAAAAATCATACAGACTCCCCTTCTCCCCCATCAATGAGCTTCTTTTCTTCAGAACATTTACCATACTTTTGAAACTTTCTGTGTATTTTTCTCTTATAATAGACTAAGAACTATCTTTTCTCCATAATAGACTAAAGACTATCTAAATTAGACAAAATGTTTAGAGTTCTCATAAGAGCAGAAGTATTGCTAGAGATGGAAATGAATTTTTAAAATCTTTTTAGGAGCTTCATATGGCTGAGAAGACTAAACTTATCACTCAGTTGCGTGATGCAAAGAACTTAATTGAACAGCTTGAACAAGATAAGGTAAAAAAAGCAAAAAAGATTTATGATACTACAAATTGTCAGGGGGCCTAAAATTTTACTTTTGAAGACAGTTGGAAGCATTTAAGCTTCTGCTTCCCAAAATTACTGCAGCTGCTTCCATGAAAAATCTTTATGATTAATTTCTAGATTTACATAACTGTTAACATTAGTTTTGTATCATGTGAGGCTGGTTTTCTGACTTTAAAATCCTGGTTAGATTTATAGATTAAAATAACTTCTACAAAGAATTCATATGTATAGTGCATTTTTACTTTTCAGAGAAAAGTCAAGGCATGTTGAATGCAAACGGTAATTGTTCTTTCAAATATAATAGAAACACAACAGCGCTCAAATAACTTGTCTAAAAAGTAAAGAAATGATCATGTGTTTATTAGCATAAACAGAAGTCTCTGTCAATGAAATTTCAGCTCTTTAGAGATTGGAAATTGGAAGATTGAGCAAAGGATGAGTTTTACCCTTGACAATTTAGAGTTGGGGCAGCAGCTTTAGCTATGGCAGCAAAGACAACTGAAAAATTCACCAGCGAACAGTTTCAAATCCCTGTCTTTCAGCCCCCAGTTCTCAGCAGCTGCCAGGTGGTTCCAGTCCCTCCACCATTTCCTATAATGTACTGCTTTTTACTGTGGTGCTCCAAGTGGCCTTGCAGTTAGGAGTGTGTCAGAGTTATCTTCTTATTAAAATGAACTATTGGCAATTTTAAAATTCTCTCTCTATATATATATTTATTTATACTTGTTTGTTTGTTACTCTATAAAATTTTTAAAAGCCCATTTGAAATGTTTTCTTATAGAAAACTTTAAATATCTACAAAAATAGAAGAAGTTGGTACAATGAATTATTGTGAGCTTATCACTCCGCTTCAATAGTTAGCATCTTATAGCCTATCTTGTTCCATTAATATATCCTCAGACCCATTATTTTCTTCTCAAACCAGGATTGTTTTAGAATAAATCCAAGAAATTGAATAATTTCTCCTTAAGTATTTCAATAGACTTAAAAATGAAACAAAACATAACCACATTATCATGCCATAGCTAAAATTGAACAAGAGTTCTATAACATGTTCTAGTATCTAGTCAGTTTCAGATCTTCCCTATTGTCTTTCTCTCGTCCCTCTCTCTCACTTTTTTCCTTTGTCTGAATCAGGATCCAAAAAAAGCTTTTTCATTGTAATTAGGCTCTTCTTTTAATCTGTAGGTTCAACTGTCTTTTCTTTCTCTTTTTTCCCCCTTATAATTTGTTTGTTGGAGAGATTGAAGGCCCATGGGCTTGTTTTAAAATGCTAACAATGTCCTGTTTTCCTGGATGTTATTTAGCAATTTTAGCTATCTGGAAGAGTCAGACATTAAAGCAAGGGTCCACAAATGCTGGACATAAGATAAAATCCTTCTTAAATTCACAAAATAAGCTTCTTAAAGGCATTAAATAGTTGTCATAAAGCCTAAATACCTTTTTAAGAGACTGGTAGAATCATTGATTTTTTTTCATTAGTCCCAAAATGACTGATTTAATGTATAAAATATAGTCTCCCTCACCCACCGGTACTCTTTATTTCTAGTTCAAATCATCCGGAGAGAGCTAAGGACATTATCAACTAGCAGATTGGAGTAGGGAGATTTCATTGGCCTTATTAGTAAGGCAGTAGTGCTGACTAGAGACTGTCACCGAGAAGAGAGGAGCCAGGTGGAACAGTACCACAGCCTTGGTACATCCCAAGCCCCTGAGGCTATCCCCATGTCACTGTGCTGATGAATTTGTTTATGTTGGCCTTGAGCCAAGTATAAAATATTACATTTCATTCTTTATAAACGGTTTAGTAAGGTAAGGAATATTATAGTACATTTATTACAGAATTACAAAATGAACCTTTTAACCAAAACATGTTATAAACTATTACCCTTTAATTTTATAAAATCTATGCTACTATGCCAAAAAAAACCAGAGCTACTATAGAATGAAGAGCAGAGCACAGTTTGTGAAATATTGAAATCATTCTTAATACTGTATTTAGTAAGCAGTATGTGTTTTCTGCCTTTTAAAATAAGTTGGCCATGTGATGTCAGTGATACAGTTTGTCATGCAAACCCTGATGGAGCCTGCACTTTTGCTCAGGGAACGGTGATAGCAGAGACAAAACGGCAGATGCATGAAACCCTGGAGATGAAAGAAGAAGAAATTGCTCAACTTCGAACTCGTATCAAACAGATGACTACCCAGGGAGAGGAATTAAGGGAACAGAAAGAAAAGTCTGAGAGAGCTGGTAAGAATTCAGGAGTTACTGTTTTATGTTGAAGTGCAAAAGACATTTTAAATGCTTGAGCAGTTTTTAAAAAATTATTTTAATTTTATAAAATTAAAACCCCTTATAAGACCCTTTATAAAACACTGAACTACTCTTTAGAGGAGCCATGCATAGTATGGTAAACTATGGCCTTTGGACCAAAGTTTGTTTATATGTAACCTTCAATCTAAGAATGACTTTTGCTCTGTTTTAAATAGTTGAAGAAAAAAGAAAAGAAGAAGATGTGACAGATTGTATGTGACCTGCAAAGCCTAAAATATTCTACCTGGCTCTTTACAGAAAAAACTTTGCTGACTGTGTATTTATAATTTAAAAATTCTCCAATTAAGTGACAGCATGCTAACTCATTTAGCAAGTGCTACTTTGTAGATGCTGTTCAGCAAACAGAAAGTATAAGATAAAAGGGAACACACTAGTCAGTGTTAAATTGACCAGCGTTATGTTTTGACACAGTAAGGGGTAAGTTATAAATTATAGGTCTTATAAATTATAGTAAAGGCACTACTGTGTTATGCTAGGAAGGGGAAAATATCAGAAAGAGGAAAGAGCATGATGCCTCCATGCCATTAAGGATGTGAATCTTGAGGAAGGCCTCAAACAAGGAATGTAGAATACATTTTAGCAGAGAGATAGAGCAGCACACCTTTTAGAATTTACGAAACCATTAGTAGGTACAGACAGACACCAGAGTGAGTGTATGAAGCAACCCAAAATCTTCCTTGTTGAAGTGGCAAATGAAGTAGGATCACAAAGGAACTAACCATTCCTCTAACGTGGTTAGCTGAGTTCAGAGTTTAATAGACAAGAAACCAGGAAAGCATGATGTGATGGAATCTATTGTTTTGAAAAGAAAGAAATGAAATGGGAAGTTGAACTTGGAAGCAAAGACAGCAACCCAAGTTTGAGGTGCTGAGAGCTTTAACAACTTTGACAAGGATGGGATCCTGGAAGGAACCGAAGGATAGAAACTCCAGAATTTGGTATCTGATCAACTTGGAGAAGTCAGTATCTAATGTGATCTCAAGGTTTTATGCTTTAGAGACTGAATGAATGATGTTCTTGTCAATAATTATAAAGTTGGAATAGGAACTCTAAGTGGAAAGTTGAGTGTTGGAATGTGAGGGGTGATGAGTTTGCTTACATACTTGAGCTGATTGTGAACTTTGGGAATAAGAAATTGGAGACTCTCTCAGAAATTATTCATTAGACCCAAAGCCTACGGGTTCATTCATAAGAGAAGCTGCTTTCTCCCAATATTACTTTCTCATTGATTACTAGTAATGATAGTAGCAGTAGTGGCAGCACCTACTAAGCCAAATATGTGAAATTCTTACTGAATACTTTGAACTGACTCGACAGCAACAGGCTTCCGATTGCAACCCCCATCATCGCTGTCAAGTATATTCCACCTATCCAACACTTAAATAGCATTTGCTTTATGCAAGGCACTATAAAAGTGGTTTAGTTGTACTTACTTGTTTACTTACAGTTCATTATCAACATTTTGTGAGATAAGTACTATGTATGATTATCCCTATTGTATAAGCGAGAAATCCTAAAAACATAGAAGTTAAGTAACTTGCTTACTTGTACGCACAGAAAAAGGGAACACATGAATTCAGGCATCTTGATTTTATAGTCTGATCTCTTAACTATAGGAATCTTCAATTTGACAGAGAGAACTACATGCAGAGTGGAGGGGGGAGGTGGGGGGAAGAAGTTACCTAAGATGTCCTAGGAATTACAGATAGCTAGGCTAATTTTTTTTAAATCACTGTTTTAAGACGTTGGAGAGGTAGAGGATGAAGATTTTGAAAAAGTCTTTGACTATGGTGAGATGTGATTTCAGGAATGCTGTTTCAGAAATGATTTTATAAACCAGATCGTAAGATGTTAGGATGATAATAGGTCTGGTACTTGTAAGTATCTCCCTGTTTCCTTGCAGTTGTTATTTATATTGATAAAATGGTTGGGGAGCTTAGTTAATTTGTTTTCAGCAAACCTAAGAAGATTTCCCCTCAGAGAGAGTTGATCACATCTTTCAGAATATAGTATTCCAAGACTTAGTTGGCACAGTTTGAGAGCGGGAGACACTGTTGAACCGGGGTTTCGGGAAAGAGACCGGATGGATGGTATCAGCCTCGCAGATCAAGTCTTTCCATTTGGAGGCCTGCTTTTGTTGACTGATGTTGGGGGGGATTAAGTTTCCTTTTCAAATTGGAGTATACCTTGTGAGGAATTAGAAACCCATGAGTAAATGCCATGTTAAAAGAGTATATGATTAAAAATTAGATAAAATAAACAGTTAATTCACATGCACGGTAAAATCTTTCCAGATAACGAATTCAGTCAAATCTTAGTAGGTCAGCTTTCGTTTCCTTTCTTCTCCAAAATAAAGAAGTTACGTATTTGGTCTTTAACTGTGATTGACCTAATACTATATTTCATACATATTTAATAGCCTACGCATTCAAAATCATTTCTATTAATACTCTTAAAATATTCTTACAAACCAATAAATGTTACAAGAAAAATAATACTTATTATTTAATAACTACTTTTTTTTGAAAGTCACTGGACCATATGGTTATGAGTGCTTTCATAGATACTTTAAAAAATTTTACCTGTTGTGAGCGGAGAAAAGAGAAGAAGCTGATACCAAGGGCCCAAGTAGAAAGAAAATGTTTTGGAAATGTTGATGGCAACATATGTACAGATGTGCTTAATTGATTGCTATAAGATTGTAAGAGCACCCCAATAAAATGATTAATAATAAAAAAGAAAACAAAAAAATAAAATTAATTAATTAAAAATATATACCTGTAGTCATAATTATAAGAGAGATGATAGAAATTGCAACAGACTAGTTGCACAGTGAAGATAGTGCATTTTAAGCCTAAACTGGAAAATAGTTTTGTACATGGCTTCATTTACCAAATGGTGTTGCATCTAAGCAGAGCTGTTTCAATACAAAATGGTAACTAAACAGCTGTTATACATATAACCAAGTAAGAAAAAATCCAAGAGTAGTACTACAAATAAGTAAAGGTCAATGTCAGGAAAGTAGGATTTCCATTAATACTCTCCGAACAACATCTAGCTTTAAGAGGATTCAATTGCTTTGTTAAATATTTGTCTTTTTAGAAAAATTAGATTTAAAATTCCCAGGTTAGAAACGTAAGGATACGTAAGGAAACAAAATGATGGTTGAAGAGGAAACATTAACACCCTTAAAGCTTGCAGTCAATAGGAGTTATAAAAGTAAATGTATCGACATAAAACAATTATCAAAGGTTATGCACTCTCCTGAGGAATTTTCAACTGTAAAAACTTTAGCTCCAATGTTGTTAGTATTTCTTGACATGTGGATATTAGCAGACAAATAGCTTCTTCCTTTGGCTTGCTTATTCTGGACCACAGAAGTGGCTCCAGTACATTCCTCACTGCAACCCTTGGAAAATAATATATTGCACTGTTCCTCATAGCTTCTCTAGATGAGCTGATACCTACCATATGTTGAAGGACAAAGGACATCTGAATATTTCTAGTTTAGAAAGCATAATTTTATAATAAAATACAGAATGAGACTGAACATGGATGCATGCTTGCTCAGAATACTGTATCAACCCATGGCACTTGAATACTTTTCTGTCTAGTGTGTATACATATTAGGCATTTTTTTAAAGTGAGATACTATAACATTTTTGATTTTGTTAACATTATTTTAGTGGATAAAGAAGATCAAAAAGTAAATGTTTGTTACAAAAACTTCACTGTAACTATTCATAGTATTCCTTTCTAGGTATTTACTTATAAATATGCACAAATTGTCATATTTTCCAGTAACCAGATTTTAGAGCAGTCTGGTGATTTCAGTTTTAAGCAGAATGCTCTGTTTCATGGGCTAGGTACTATGTAACTACCTGTCTAGGAACAGACATCCTTCTAGTAACAGACACCCTCATCCTCAATGCAGCACTAATGAGAATATTAATGCTATGGAATTTTTCCACAAGTGTCTTTAAAGAAAAGAGGGAAAGAAAAAGTGCCCTCAAAATTGGAAAGCAGAGAAAATGAAAACATGTCACATAGTTTCAGTACATTCTTACTAGTTTTTTTCCAATCATCAGTTTTACATTATGGTAATCATGTTGTACGTGCAATTTGGTATGCTGCCCGCCCCCCCATGTAGCATTATGTTAGTATTCTTACATGTTGTTAAAGCACTAACATTTTAACGGCTGTGTCAAAGTGCATGCACATCATTTACTTAACCATTTCCCTGTTGGTCAACATCGAAATTATTTTTTATTTTTGCTATAACGAATACTTTGACAACTCTGTGAAATAGCTTTTTTCATATCTTTGATTGTCGTCTCAAAATAAATTCTTACCCATGGTCTCTTTTTTTGTTAGTGACTTTTAAGTTATTTAAATATAGCCAATGCAAACAACAAAAAATAAGAACCCATATCTCCCCTGCCCTACTAGAATGCCCCTGGCTCTACTTACGCAAAATGAATAAATACATTATTCTGTTTGAATTAGGCACATTTCTGGAGTGCACTAATTCTTATAAACCCCGTCTTTGCTGATACTATCTGGTTTGTATGAGTGGCTGCATTTAAAAACTTGGATTAACTTATAACATTCTTTGTTTTTTTATGGCCATGTTGTGTTTGTGCAGGAAATACATTTTTTATTCCTTTGTAACGTATAGGTCTGATATATCAAGGACTTTCAGTGGGACATACTTATCTGAGGTTTAAAGGAGCCCTCAAGAGAATTTATGTATTTAAATAATGTATAAAGTTTATGCATATTTCTATAAAACAAGACCAAATCACTTATGTATTTTAGCGCTTTGTTAGTTGTTGATAGTTTATGTATAACGGAGTTTTTCTGTAGTCTTAAGTCTCATAAAACATCTTATTTTTGTGCATCCACACATGCCAATA